GTCCTATGATCGGCCTTGTTGGGGCGGGTAGAATATGTGAGTTGGAATAAAGTTTTGAGCATAAAAATGTCAGATGAATTGATGTTTCCTAATAGGGTTCTCCACTCGCGAATCAAAAGATTATTTAAATTTAAATTATATTTTTAAAGTTTAAAAATATTAATTTATACCCTTAAAGATATAAATTCATATTAATATGTATATGAGGTTAACTCCGTTTATTTTACCATTAAAAAAGTTTAAAATAATTATAAATTGTACCTTTCAAAATTTAATATTTCATATTTATGATTCAAAAAAAATTACATTCATTAATGCTCATTAAATAGTTATTAATTGTATCGTATCATGATATTTTCATGTCGTATTCGAGTCAATAAAAAAATATTTCAAAATTTTTTAAAAAATTATGAAATATTTATTTTTTACATGCAATACTCGTTAAATAGTTATTTTCTAACTACAATTAGATCTTTTGTTTGTCTGATCAAATTAAAGTTAAATACGAATAACACAGCTGTAAAAAGAAAATAGTTATTTAACGAATATTATAGATAAAAAAATAAATATTTTTTAATATAAAAATATTATATGAATTGTCGTAAATGTGAAATATATGATACAACATAATTAAGTTAATATGAAAATATTTTTTGTATGAAAAATATTTTTTATTGACTCTAATACGACAAGAAAATGTTATGACACGATAAAATTGAGAGCTATTTGACGAAGATTAATTGATGGAATTTTTTTAGAACATAAATGTAAAATATTTAAACTTTGAAGGGTGTAATTTATAATTAATTCAAAAATTTTTAATGGCAAAATATATGGCGGTTAGTCTCAGTCGTATTTATATCTTTTAGAGTGTAATTTGATATTTTTAATGTTTGAGAATGTACATTAAGATTTAGGTGATCTTTTCGAGCTGAGTTGAGATTAACTCTTCCTAAAATTACCTAAGATTCGAGGGAGTGGTGAGTGGTATTGTTTACGATATTATGATTAATGATTGTTTTCTTGAAATGGAGAGTTGAGTATTTCTTGTCCTTTAGTTTACTAAATTGGGTACTCATTGTTTTATATTTTTTCAAGTTTAAGAGTTAATGATAAATTCATATTTATATAAATAAGCAGTTTACAATTCAAATTTCAAAAATAAACAAAATAACTTTTACTATACACGGTTGAGATCGCTTTAAATTTTACTGTAAAGTTAATTTAACGGCTAATATCAACATCCTAAATTTAATAAAAAAAATAAACTTTTAAGGATGTGTTTGAAGTGACTTTTTAAAAGTACTTTTAGAAATTATTTCTCATAAATATATTTTTTTTAAAATAATGTTTGAAATCGTCTTACCACTACCTCTACCACCATCGCTTCCACCGTCGCCGTCGTCACTACCACCACTACCATTGCCACCACCGTCACCATCACCCACCACGGCCATCACAATTGTTGCCGCCACCCCCACCTCACCACCATCCCTACCCCAACCACCACCATCGCCTTCGCCACCACCCCCAACCCCCACCCCTACCTTTGTCACCTACCACAACCATTACCATCTCCTACCACCCCCACCACTGTTGTCCACCACCTTTCACATCCACTACAAATCGATAGCATTTTCACGCCCACAAAAGAATGACAAATCCAATATGCGCAACACAAAACCAAACCAAACATAATGTTGTCCCAATTATTCGAACTCAATTATATCCTCCCCTACAGTAAAAGTAAGTATATCCTTCTTCACTACCTCTCTCCATGTTAATTTCGACATCCCTCTTCTAGTCTTTCCATTAATAACACCACTCTTCCCCGCTGATGTACCTACTGGTTCTCATTAAACAAGTCATGCTTTTCGTTCTAAAAGTCCAAACCAACTTAATCGTAAAAAGTATCGTGAAATAATGCAAAATCTAACATTAAAAAGAAGAAGAAGAAGACGACGACGATGATGATGCTAAGCAAGTACTTATTGCCTATTCATGATGGCGGTAAGGCCTTTGCCGGTATTTGCTTAAAATCAATTCGTTGTAATGCATATCCAATTGCTAAAAGACCTAACTTTAAAAGGATTGCATAAAGAGATTTACAGGATTGTAAACATCCCCTATTAACATAAGAATGGATTAGCTATTCTGTGCCCTAGGAGGAGGAGTAGCTCTCACTTTTTTGGGTTGGAGAGGGGGAGCGACGAGGGTTGTAATAAACTTCTACACAACCATCAACATAAGATCATCCATGCATAGCAATTTTCAGGGTGCCATGGCCCTTGCCTTCCTCCCTCTCCCTCCACAGTTGTCTCCAATGTCGTTGAATTAGCCTGTCTTGCAAGCCTGAAAATCAGTACCTTCATTCTGATTGGCTAAATCTTGAGTCCATAGTAAACTCCAGGTTGAACTTGTCCTTAGGCCAATAACCCTCTCTCTCTCCCCCTCTTAGATGACCACCTCTTGTCCGATACCTAACCTTAAGGCATGCCTATCGTGAAGAACACCAGCCATATCTTTGGATACTTTGGGCCATCTACACCTTAAGGCACTCCACTCTACGCTCCATTGTTCTCTAGTGCCTCTCTGCACTCGGAGCACTTTCTGGAGCTTCAACTGCATTCCTGCCCCTTGCCATGCTTCGCCCATTGATCCTCCGTGTCCTTCACCATCTGTGTTTTGGTTAATCAGCTTTGGAACTTTATTTTATACACAAGCCTTCCTTTAATTGCTACACTATGGTTGCAAAATGAAAAGTAATAAGGGCAGAACAACAATGGCTCCTCCCTGCTGTCATAGGTTGCGGCTAATGTAAAATAAAGTTCCATTGCAATTTGCAATAATTGACTAATATTTTCGATAAGAAACAGACTTAAATGATATCACAATGAAAATTTATAAGAAAACCCAGTCAAGTATGGACAAGAAGTCCACCACAAGACTGGCCAAAAGAGAAAAAAACAAAATTACAAAATAAATGACTAATATGATAACTTGAACTGAAAATACATACTAAA